TTACCTTGGAAAAACAAGGACCATCTACTTTGGTGGGGTTAGACCCCACAGATCACTGATGATCAGACCATCAAACATAGGCTTGTGGGCTCTGTAGCCAACAGAAATGCATTCATAGCCGACTTGCTTTGAAACTACAGTAGATACCCATCCAAGTGCAAACATACTTCGTGATCCCTCAAAACGAATGTTACATCATCAACGTCGCAATATCTTGGCTATGCCAACTCGAGGGAAAGGGGAGTTTAGTGGCCGGTAGCAGTGGAGACCAGGCCCTGGACGGCCTGCAGCACACACTCGTAGATGGCAGCCTGATCTGTGGCACGGGAATCGTCAGTACTTGGAAGAATCGGCAGCCAGGATTCGAATTGATTTACCGTTGGGTGTCTTGTCGGTGCACTCCTGAGTGATCTGTGCCAACTGCTCCTCCTCGCCGGTGACCTGGCGGCGGTTGATGCCGAGGGTGTCGAGAACGCAGACGTCGAGCGAGGTGATTTCTAAGTTCGATGTCAGAAAAGCAGAATGGGTCTTTTGCCAGATGAGGAACTCACCACCGATCGCCAGCTTCGTCTTGCACTCGTCCACAACTGCCTGGAATGCCTCTTCAGATTGGCGGCGGACCATGCCCGCCACGGGACGTCGGTGGGCCATTTCCATCAGCATGGCCGCGACGATAGCGTCCACATCCTTGTTCTTTTCCATGTCCTTGGTCGCGGAGTTGCGGTTGGCCATGTCCATGTCTATAGTAGACCTCGTGGTCATGCCGTTCTTCATGGCCGGGGCCATGGTACCCATCTTCATGCCCTTAGTCTTCTTCATGGTCGCAGCCATGTTGCCCATCTCCATGCGCTCACGCTTAGCCATGCCCATTGATGGCGCAGTGTCCTTCATGTTCATGGTGTTCCTCATGGCGGGTGTGGAGGAACCCATGTCCATGTCCATAGGCTGACTGTTAGCCATCTCCATCATAGGCGCTGCGGGCTTCATGTCCATAGAGGTCCGCATGGCGGGGGCCGACATGGCGGCACCAACGAGAGTAGCGATGACACAGGCCTTCATGGTGAAAATATTTTGGGGTTGATTTGGTTGAATCGGTTGGAAACGTTGAGTATTGCAGTGTGGTTGGGTTAAACTGATATGGCAGTCACACTGGATGCTGAACGCAGGGCGCTCTTTATATCTCCAAAGTTGAGATTCTGCTCTTGGCTTGTCTCTTGCATAAAGTCAATCGAAAGGCGTCCGATGACCTCTCAGAAACCGGTCTGACAGGAAGGCCAGGCATATCCGGGCACGCAAGTTCGTAATCACATTCCGCCCCGATGAACCGTCGCCGTGCGTTCAGCGAGATCTTTGCCGATTATGGGTGAATCATTGTCGCATGAGAATGACATCGATCGAAGCTCTTCTCAGGGGGACATGGCAGGCAGTGGCATCCCCTGTCGGTTCTGCGGCGCAGAGCCAGACGATCTGGGGCAACGACGAGATATCAAGACCAACAGCCGAGACAGTTGTCTGTCAACACGTCAACGGACACTAGCCCTTCCATTCCCGACCGACAGCAGGGCTGGGCTTTGCAGCCACCGGCCCGATCCCACTGGGGTTGCGCTGGGGCTTTCCAAGCGGGGCAACATTCCAGAGCAATCAACAACTTGAGGTGACAGTGTCTGTAAAGCTCGATATATCAGTTTGTACGATTCAGTGTAGGTTCATGAGCGTGACCTCTGCTTTCAATCCTTATATACACCTGAGACTCTACTGTGTTGTGAACCTAGACAGAATATAGATTCATGATTGTCCACGCTACTGTCCCATCAGGTAAAAATCAAGATACGGAAGAAACATCAATGATAACTCACTGCAGAATAGATAGGAAGAGGTCCACAGATGCCTTCCTTCCTTGAGGTTGGTACATCTGGAACGTCGTGAAAGCCGAGCCGGCGGTGCGTCAGATCTTTGTGGAGGCCTAAATTCGTCATCATGAGCAAGCGCCCTCCAGCTTTACTAATGTCGGCGGCAGAGACGATGACAATGACGGTGGCGGTGTGGGCGCCATCTTGAAATCTGACATGGCAACGCATCTCATCACTATAGTGGCTGATCCTAGCTGATCAAGAGAACGGCGATGCATAGGAATACCACGGCTCAACAATCGGCAATACATAAGAACTTTTCACATATTTTCAGCACCTTGTTAAGGAAACAGTACGTGACGAATCAAAATATTTGAGATCCACTGCTCTCTTGATGAACGGGACAGGCAGAGCCTGCTGCCTTGGCGAAACTTCCTGGATCACGCTACTCGTATAGCTGGAAGTGGCAGAGACATATGCAGACGTCCATCGGCTCGGATAATTATGCATGGTGGTTACTTACGCTACTGTTCATGCTTCAAGCGAGATGATGATAACTTTTTAGCCAATGTTTACGATCACGATGTTTACACCACGCTCCTCGCCAACACATGAAAATCATCATTAGCCCTTCCAGCTGTGGCTGCTTGGCCTACAGAGTACGTAGACAATGCCACCACGCCATCACTTCTTGCCACATTCGGGAGACTGCAAAACTGAACGACTGTTGTCAGTGACTATGAACCTACCCATACATCTGAGTTCCAAGTGAATGTGGAGCAGCGGAAGAAGCCCTTACCCACCTTCCAAGTCTGCGAGCCACTTGCAAAATGCAAAACATACAACACCGGGGATTCGCTGGTGGTCACCCACCCAACTACTAGTCCGGCCCTTATTGGTTTATCGCTGGGAGAGCGGACGGGATCCCGAGTTTTCCAATAGGTATGGTCGTATGTGATGGATTGGCTTGCGCCGGTGGATTATGATGGTCGTGGTGACGCGGCGGGTACTGATTGATCTGACGCGATGTCTTCGATTGATAACACAGCCTTGAACCAACCCTTTTGCTCCTAGGCGTCATATCCCAAGCTTTTCCTCAAAAGTAACCGTAAGTTGATTCCGGACTTCTTGATTCAAAACATACTCTTTTGATGCAATTGGATTGCTCCGAGTAGTTAGGCTTGCGGCCGTGTGAGAGTGCTGCCACTGAGCCCCTCTGCGGCCGGACGGTAATACGGGCATCGTATGAGCCTTCTACGTATTCATATAAGAGCACTTCACGTATATTCTCTGCCCCTCGTAATATAACACTGTATTAGTTTTCGATCAACTTTGTTCGCCGAGGTGGATCTTTACAACGATTTACATGCCTCAACGACTTCACATAACATGCAATACAACAACCTATCAGTCTTCGCTCCGTCTCGGATAACCTGAACAAGATGGGCCATGCCATACTTGCTACACAAAGCCGCCCACTCCGCGCAGAAACCAGAAAACCAGACAGGTACGAATGCAGTGCACGATCTAGCATGAAACCTAAATCTAAGCTGTCAACCCAAACTGCAGCCCTTCACAGGCTGTATAAAATAGTCATAAAGCGTTCCTCATCATGTGATCTGAAGCCTAAAGTAAACCAAAATGTTTGTCATCATGATCAGAATATCTGCAGAACTCATGTCGAGCTTTCTCACACAGATCGACCCTGTTTGTGCTATGACAAGAGCCGCCGGCAAATCTTACTTCGGGATGGAAAACGACCCATCTCATCCATCAGGATTTTCTCTCAGTCCTTGCGGACCTCGTTCAGCAGGTAGAGCTGCCCAGCCCACTGCTCTTTGACAGTAGGCCAGATCTGCGCAGGGGGCAGAATGAAACCGCCATCACGAGCGTTCGCTGGCGGCAGCTCCAGCGTCCACGAGTGGCTCGCATCGGCGGCGCCGTGGTGGAAATCACGACCGGTACCCGTCGAGAAGTAGAGGACCTCGCAGGGCGGGACCGACGGGTGTAGTTGCGGGCCGCTTCGAGGCCTTTGATGGCCGGCGGCGGGGGCCCTGGGCCGACCCTCGCCGCATGGCGCGGACGGCTCCCCGGGCAGGGTCGGCGGCCGCCCCAGGAACCAGCCCCCCGGGGGTGGGGGGATGAGTTGCAAGTAGGAAGGGCAAACCCGATTTAGGACCGGAACCCGGGGGGGCCC